CCTTTAATATTCCGCGTTCCCACATAATTAATTATCACGTTTCATTCAATAAATTCGCTGAAGGGGGCCCAAAATTGCCGCCGAAACTAACCAATTGTATTCACCGAGAAGGAAGGTTTTACATTTTGAATATAAATTACTTTACTGCGAGTATATTACGCAAGCACCCTCAGCAATTTCGCCGACCAACGATCGCGCGGAGAAGCGGCGGGGGAATTCCGGCGTCGCGACGGAAGAAAGATCGATCGGCGAAACCGCGCGATTCCGCTTGTATCTCGTGGAACGCGACATTGTTTTCGCGCCGCCGCCGTTGTCGTGCATTCCCCGCGAATTAACGACCCGTCGTCGAGGCAGACAGCTGGCCCTTAATTCTCCGCCATGGAATAACCTGTCACCGGTAACAGCTGCTGGAGGCTTATCGCACCTAATGCACCGGCGAGTCGCGGCGAGCAGTCGCGCTGGCTCCTCGCGAGCGAGAAAAATGCGCCCGATGCGCCCCTGCTGAAATATTACGCCCGCTGTAGCGAAATATCTTTGAAAGCATGGTTTTGCACTTCCCTTTGAAGTAAGTAACGATGGGGGTATAGCGCGAGCGTCGAGCGATCGCGAGACGGCAGAAAGTGGAGAAGCACGAGAGAGCTGGAGAGAGAGAGAGAGAGAGAAAGAGAAACACAGAAATATATTTCTCTACGAGATACTCTCGCGTCGAACGAAAATGCCGTTCGCGGAAGTACGGAGTAACGTAGGGAGATTATTGTATCGTATTTTTCCCCTGAGCTGGCATCGGGTATTACAAAGTTGGCCGTCGTTTACCCGTGGTCGTATCGCGTTTCAGCGTGCGCGAGTTAATTAACGGACGCGCCACCTACATCGTATGCATAGCAGTGTTCGCTGTAAACATGAGAACAAAAATATGATGTAATCCGGGTGTATACGTTTCTTCACGATGGAGAATGTCATGGCACATTCGAATTATTTCATGCCTGTCAGCGGAGAATCGTTAATCCGTGCCAGATTAAACTGCCCGAATCGCAACAGGTAGCGAGAGCTTCTCCGCCCGAAGTCAGCGAGCCGCATGACAAATACCTGCATGATGTATCAAGACGCATGTGAATGTCGGACCGTCGAACAATTTTAGTTCTCCCGCTAAGATCGCAATAATCACGTCCCACATTCAGCGACGGTTCTTATGAGACGCGCGATGTTCGCGCCGTAAAATCAGCGGGGATGATTTCTACGCCGCGCAGGCGTGACGAGTCGGCCGGCGACGCGGACTTCTGCAAAGCTTGCGGTCAGAAATGACCGAAGGAGCCTCGCGAGATCGCGTTACGCGGTCGGGTAATAACGCGCTTCTTTACGGCTTCAGTTTAGAGCATTAAGGAAACCCGATAATCTTGCCCAAGTGATACGTCAGTCGCTAACACGTGGCGTGGCGTCACGAGAAATCGGATTGCTCGCGACAACTAATTTGCGCGCGAGGGGTGATTCTAATTTTTCCCTCGGTTCTTCATTCGCATTGTTGTCACGGTCTCGAACCGAAATGCGAAACGACGCGTTGATAAAAATGACGATAATACGAATCATCGGATTTTACAAACTTATCATGTTGTATTGTTGAGCGTAATATTTCATATTTTTGGAATTAACTCCGTTTTCGAATACGTCCGAGATAAATTTGGACGCAGTGCGAAATTTGTGCGGGAATATAGCCGCGCGTTGAAAAAAAAAATGCAATATTCCGGGAGGAGCGAGACTGTGTTCGGCCTCGAGATATCGATAACGAAATTTTAAGCAGATTCGGAGCAAGAGGTCCTCGCAGAAAAATTTTATATATCGCGCGAGTCGCGAAAACCAATATCAGGTTAGAGGAATATTGTATTACCGACCGAGATTGGCCTTTTCTATTTTGACACGTCTGTGTGTCATTATTTATTCCACAACTTGTCCAATTTACCTTAAAAATACATAAAACGCGCCATATTTGCGAAAACGTAAAGCGAGATCCAGGTCACCGTCTATATCTTACCGCACATAAGGCGTTGAACTAATAATAGTCGAATCGAATAATGGTGTCAGCAGAAGGAAACGGAATTTAAGGGGATAATCGCGTGACAAGGAAATCGCGTTAAATCTCCGATCAAAATCTCGCGATCCGATCTTTCCTCAACCCCCCCCCCCAAAAAAATATGAAGGAATAAAACAGATTATTTCTTTAACGAAATGCGATTTCTATGTGAAACCTCCGCGGGAATTTCAACGGATTTCAGTGGAAGAGATCGCTCGATTTGGAGAAAAAAACTTATGTAGCACACGTTATCGTCGCGCCAGGCACCGAGACTTCGAATTGATTATTTTAATTAGCGACTGCACGAGACATCGCTGCTGGGAAGAGGCGGCGACGCGAATTCCTCGAAAAATTTAATCGGCCGTGCACAGCACAATGCGCCGCGATTGTACTTGGTAACCCGTTAATGTTACCTCCGGCACATGACGTCCCGTAATTAGGTCATCATTTATGCTTACACTGTTGTGCGCGAGCGTTTTAGGTGGTGCGAACGATAAGTGCGGAGCTCATTATGCGACGATCCGGCTTTTTCGAGAGAAAATACAATCTTCTTCTCGCTCCGTGTATGTTATTTACAATTAATTGAGAGTACGTCCACGAGAGAGATGCGTTATCAGAGGAAACATTTCTACATTTACTTTCATCATTAAGTATTAAGTTGATGTAAAAGTTTCACCGTCTTCGTCAAATAAAATGGATAACGAAATCATTCAATTTCCAGGGATCGATGATTTTTACTCGAAATTTTCTGCAACCTCACTTTTTACGTGCACTTTCACTGTTTTTCTCGTTCCTTCTAATTATTTTCTTTGTGTTTTATCTATCTTTTTTCAGCAATATACAGTAATAATAATTATTATTACATTTATTTACGGGTACAAGAACTCTTTTGGAAAAGAGAAATACAAAACAAAAAACGTTGAAAGGAAAGATACAAAATAATATTATTATAATTATTTCTAGACATCTAACGAGAACTTCCTGTTCTCCTTTCAACACTCAAACTTCCTACGAGAATTTAATAAAAAATTACGAATCTTTTATATCAGTCCGATTCGTCTCGCATTAGGAGGCACGCGGATCAAAGTTCATACTCGAGGGACCAATCGAACAATCGGAAAAGCCAATCTCGCGAAATCTGAAGGAAATCGCTGTCAGGAATCGGATTCGAAATAAAACGGCGGAAGTTATCGAGAAGTTGCTGAAAGATCGCGGGACCGCGAGGCGGAAATTGCGGCACGGGGGGCATTTAATATCACCGCGTATGCATCGTTCGAGTTATCGATAGATCGCGCGAGCCAGATACGCGTCTATCAATACGCGAGGGCAGATAATTAGATTTCGTTGCGCGGATAGACACGTTAACACGCTTATTGCGAATGTTCGTGCCGAGCGAGCAAGCGAGTCCAAACGCGCGCAGCCGAACACGGCAATAATTCACAATGTCGCTCCGAATTATGTGTACGGCGGCACCGCAACTGTTCAAAATATCTCTATTATGTAACGGGAAAACGAAGCGCGGCGAAACAGCGAAAAATACTGACTTATTTGTCCTCGCCATCTGCGCGATATCAAATCTCGATAGAGCGTACCCACTTTTGCTTCGTTTGGCGACCGCCGGTGGAATCCACCTTCCCGAATAGAATAATCGAATATCGTCGCTTTACGTCAGCGCGTATAGTCGCCTCGTATATAATAGTCCGTCCCTGGTAATGTCTTATTCTTAGCAGCGCTGCGTTGTATCGAGCGGATTTCTGCCCCCGATGGTAAGGGAAAATCGGAATTTACATCGGAACGATACTCGCGTCGCTCATCGATCCACCCTCCGCCCTCTTCTCCGCCGCTCATCGATCGACGTCCCGATGGAAATACCGAATCCTCTTGCAATAACGAAGTCACAGTGTCGACGCGACTAAAATTCGACGAATATCTAATTGCCCGCTATTATCGCTATTACCATCTCTGTTTTCTAGGTCACTCTGTATAAATTCCGCCTTTGTCGCTACGATCATCCACGACAGATTAAGAGCGAGTTAAAAAGTTCTTGTCTTTTTTTTTTTCTTACGGAAAAACTCGCGGCTGGTCGCACGAGAGACACGTGTGACGTAGAAATGCGAGAGAATCTGATTCACAAAAGTGTAAATTGTCACTGCGCATATCGTAAATAAATTAACTGATACTTCAAAATTTGCTGGTTTCTTTCTGTACACGTTTCGCGGTATTAACTAGCTTTTGTAGAATTTGTCTTTTCCTTGCATATGTTATCAGTTTGGAAATTACATATTGTACTAAAAGGATGACGTATTCCCGTAAATAAATAAGTATAAATAAAAATCGGCATCGGAAGCGAGGCTAGGAGAGTCTTACAGACCGAGGGAAAAATATGTAACACGCAGTAAAAAAATTTCGTATTAAAAACGGCCCACTGAAATTTTGTGCTATTTTAACACGGGGGATGTGTTAAAAAGTACCCAAATATAATATTAAATTAATATACTCATACGTTAACAGAGTGAGTGTGTTGATTTAACATTGTATCTGTGTACACTTTGACACATTCCTCATATTAAGGTAACACGAAATTTTTCACTGTATACATTCGTAACTACGATACCATAACTCTATACACAATAGTAAGGGAATTATAGTCATAGAAGAACCACTTCTCTTAATTGTTATTATAGTGTTGGCGATAATAACTTAACATGTACATTACTACTATCTTCGTCGTTGAAAGCAGAGGAAGGCTTAGGCCGAAAATGAGGCTAATTTACCCCAGTATAATTTGTCGGCGAAGGATCGCAAGAAAGAGAGTGGAAATTCGCACGAGGAAAGAGTCGTGTTCGGCGCGCGCTTCGCGTGCGGGCCTCGCGCGCCGCGCACGGGCTCGTGCGCGCGCTCGCCGGATCTCATCGTATCGATGTGTTCGTCTTACCTTGCGTGCTGCCGTTGGGCTGCCCGGCCTGCGGTATCCCGGGGTAAAGCGGCGAGGGATGGGGCGACGGTTGATTGCTGGGCGGTCCTGCAGAATGCGGGTTGGCAGTCGTCGGGGTCGGCGTGGCCGACGGTACTTGCTGGGATTGCTGGGATTGCTGCACGTTACCGCCGGACGTGGGGGTTGCCGCGGGGGTGCCTTCACCCCCGGTGCCACCCACGCCGCCGGACAGTTGCTGCTGTTGCGATTGTTGTTGCTGCTGTTGCTGCTGCGATTGTTGCTGCTGCTGCTGTTGCTGTGGCGTTTGCTGCGGCGTAGGCGGTTTTTGCGCGTCCGCCGGCTCGCTCATCGTTTCTGCAACGAGAGAGATCGCCGCAATCTTGAATATTAATCCGGCAGCGTCGGCCAGCAACGCTCTCTCGGCGGGCGTGCTGCTTTTTAGGTAGCTAGACCGTCCGCTTGGACGCGCTTCCGCACGCGATCGATTTCGTGCGGGAACCGCGCGCGCGCCACGAGCCGCGCGTTCGTGTCGAAGGCTGTTTCGCTCCCAGCGAGCGTGCGAGATAGCGTCTTAGGGGGGTGTCGTTTATTACGCTTGTTGTCGTGGAACTTTAAGCATCAGCCGGCTAATCGGACAATTCAGATTCTCTCGGAACGCCGCTTCACGCGGATCCTATTCCGAACGCGTGTCGAACGTTAAATATGCCTTTCTCGTTCTCTCGAGCTGAGACTACATTACGTTTACGTGACGCTCGCTGTGAGAAGAAGCGGAACTTGGAATTAAAAGGGCATATTCAGCGCTCATCGGGCGTCCGGAGAATACGGCTCGTTGCGGGATTTCACGGGGCTCGGGGATTGAACTTTTTTTCGATGTCTGATATCGATAGTGATACTTCTTCTTTCTCTTCCTCTATCTCTTTCCCCCCCTCTCTCTCTCTCTCTCTGTCTCTCCCTCTCTCTCTCTCGCTTTCTCTCTCACTATATCTCTCTCGAAACTCGCTGCTTGCACGGCATCCGCTCGCTTACATCGCCGTGCGCGCGCTTTTTCGTCGGGGGCCTCGATCGATTTTGCGGTTAATTTAAATAACGTACCTCGGTGCGGTAACCGGCACGGGATGACGTACGTTGATAAATAGCCCTACGGCATCGCCGTCGAGCCACCGACGAATTTCGCAACTTTCGACGAATAATCCGCGGGACTGCGAGCGAAATACTTTAATTACGGAAGGCAGGGTGAACGTCGCACGCTCGAGACTCCCTTCTCGAAAAGTTCGGATTGTTCGGGCGAGTTGATATGACTGATGGCGAAACTCGCGGAATAGTTTCGAGATCGATAGCAGGCCGGGATTTCCTCCTCAGCCGGGGGGATAGACCGGCCCCGCCATTGTTACGCGCTAAGTACCAAGGGAAGATGTACTAATCATCTCGTGCGCATCTCGACGAGTTTTGTTAATCTTCGAGCTGCACGGCAAATCGAAGGAGAAGCGTCTCGACGCTAGTTAGCTGAATTGCGTGCGTCTAGTCGGCGTTGTCGTATACTGGCAAAAAGGTGTTTGCTATTTTCATATGATTATAATTGCTTAAGTGATACTCAAAGCAGCTAATTTGTCATTTTCGTAATGTATATTTTCCATGTAATTTATGTCGGTAAAAGAGATCCCAAGTCTGGTAAGCGGCCAGGCATTATTGACGATTAGCAAACAAATCTCTGTTCTTAAACTCGCAAAAATGTTTTCGCGGCAAATTTTTGCTCTGAATCGTCGAGTGAATATTTTCACAAGAAATTGGAGAGTAATATGCAGTCTAACGCACGGGAAAAGATTTCTTTGGACTTGATAAAATTCCTTTAATTAAAACAAATTTGTCTTTTGGAATGGAACAAACGAATGTTTGATTCAACGAATAAAAAATTATTTGGTTTCTCAATAAATGTCTTTACGTTAAATAACATATGTTTTTATATTTTCACTCGAAAATTGCAATGGTTGTCACATGCAATGAATTACTTGAAACAAGTAACACTACGTTAGAAAAATATTAAAGAACTTTGTTCCAGCGGAGCAATATTTAATATATATAAAATAATAAATTTTTTTATTAAAAACAAATATTATTTCCTCTAAATAATACTGTTTTCTCTATCAAGAACATGGTTTATTCCAGTGAAGCAATAACATTTTCATTTCAACAATTTGATATTTCGTTCAGCAGATATTCAATTATGTTGTTTATATTAAACAAACCCAAGTCAAACAAACACGCATATTAAATGCAAATAAACCATTTTCTCGTATGTAATTCACCATCTAGAAGAGCCTAAACGGTAAAAACAGACTAATTCCTGCTTTACGATCAGCTTTTCCCAAACATTTTTCTCGGGATTTTCACCGTCGCTTCGATCGACTTTTCACTCGTTTTAAGTGAGATCCTATATAAAAAAAAAAATTTGTGAAGAGAAGGTTGCGTGAACGTTCGACCCGGTAAAAAATGAATCCTTCGTCAAACATTATCGCGTCGAACAAGCCAACTAACACCGCGTTCGAACGGAACACGAAACCGTTCCGAGGTTTCCCACAATTCGTCGGTAAGAGGGATCGCTCTCGTATCGTAACGCGATAACGTTAACGGTCGCGCCCGTTGTTATCTATGCCGCTATCTATCCGCGCGAGAACGGAGGAGAAGGAACGTAAGAGCGTGATTCGCGCAAACGATAAGGGACAAGAGCGGTTTCGGGGAGCGCGATCTCCGCGCACGGCTCCGTCTTGCAATTTAATCGCGCGACTCCGGCGCGCCAAAAGCGGTGGCTGGCCGCGCGATTGCGGAAATTGGAACTCGCGTCTGCCACGGTAACGAGCGTGAAACGCAATTACGACCTTCGACATCGGGCCGGCAAGTAGCCGGCGGCCCGTTGCCACTCTGTTTCTCGTTTCCTGCGGCGGCTCGCGCCGAGGGTGGCGGACACTTTCGCGCGCGAACGCGGAAATTTCCGTTTGCCGCGGGATTTCACATCGCGCCCACCGACCAGAAAATACCGCCGCTCGGGGAGTCGGCGGACTAGAAAAATATCGAGCTTACGGTCGCATTTCGTTTGAAGGTGGTGAGTTATCGGAGGAAATGAAAGAGAGTCTGCGCCGCGGAATCGGAAGCGAGAAGATCGCAGTTCGTATCGGACGAAAGTGAGGAACGTCGTTGCGTAAAAATCGCGGTGAGCATGACACGAGTATTGTATTATTCGATAAGTTCGTAAGAGTTTTTATGAAAAATATCGAAGCCGATATTTTTATACACAATTAAGCGCAACTACGTTCAATAATGTATTGACTGTTTCCTTTTTCGATGGCATACTGAAAGAAAAATATTTAGTGTTTGTAACTATAATATCGTAACTATAAAAAATATATAGTAAGAGAATTATAATCAGCAGAACCATTTTGCTAGTAAGTGTTACTATAATGTCAGTGATAACAAATTTGCATACATATTGCTGCTACTACTTTCGTGGTTATAAAAAGAGAGATATATTTGAGGTCGAAAATAATTGTAATATCTATCAATACGGGTAACAAAAAGAATAATAAAAAAATAGTGTTGCGTCCAATTATAAAAATATCGGCTTTAAATTTTTCGTGAAAATATCGGTCTCTCATCAGCTCTTCCTTGTTGTATTATTGTTTCGATCTCAGCGGCTAATATTTATTCTATCGTAACACGAGTGATGAGAAAGAGAAACAAGTGTGCACACTCACCATTTTCGGGAAACGACGTCGACCGTATCACGGGCAGCAGTATTCCCTTCTGCACCAACTCGTCTCTACTGGCACGTACCGAGATCTTTCTCTCGAGCGCTGTCAACACAAAACAAAGATAACGTACACGTCATTACATCGTTCGTTCCATACGTAACACAATCGTCAACAAAGCTCGGAAAGGTTAGCGTCCTTTTTAGGTCAGGTGCCCCACTCCAGTGTGAACTACGTGCCGATCACCGACAGTAACAAAGCCGTATAATAAATGGAATTTCCGATATCTGAAATTCCGCTTGCGTGTAGGAGGAGATCGATCGCGAAAAGTGGAAAATTCCGAACTTTACTTACGGTGTGTTTCGTCGATAATGTATGGAAACGAGGATAAATCGAGATAAATCGTAACGTACACGGTAAAAAATTTTGTGTTAAATCTAACACATTTCATATGTTCCAAACAGTTTATACAAATTTTTGCGTTAACGCAATGTGAATATGTTGAAAAGTAATACAAATATTATGTCAGAAATTAATATACAATTTTAATATCCATAATATGTTAATTAATACTTGAATAAAAGGTAGTTTAACATTTACAAGTGTTATTTTAACATTTACACGTGTTGAATATTGACTCAACAAAATATACGTGTTAAGGTAACATAAACATAGTATGTTAAATTAACACACGGATGTGTTATAAATTTAACACAAAAATATTAATACGGACCAGTTTTAACAGAAGTACAAAATATTTTTCACTGTGTAGGAACGCCGCTAAAAGACTACGTTATACATTATTCGCACGTACATACATATTTTATTTGACACGCGATTGCCACGTTTAAATGTTTTTACTTGGAAATACATATGAAAGGTTAACAACATCCATCATTTTAAGATACAGATAGAGATTATCGGCAGTAATATAGCAACGTTGATCGCGAAACGCGACAACGCAACGAGAGATCTACCGCGCTCGCACTATTAACGTTCTACTTACACAGCGAAGCGGCCTCGAATTTATCCGATTTCTTTTTCCGCTTCCATTTCCAAGGCTTGAAGAGTCTACCGAGGGCCGAGAACTTGCTTTTTCTTTCCAAGGGTGGCGTTCTCGCGCCCGAGCCCAAACTATTCGTCCGCAAGGCAGCGCCATTTTGCTTTTTCGCTGCAACAACAGGAGACAACTTCACGTTCATTTGCATTCATCATGAATATACGCGCGCCTTTCCCGCGTAATATATGAAATGGGGTTGTGATCGCGTGAGAACAGCACTGCACGATCGATTTCAGTTGAGCGAGTTTCTTACTCGCGAACGATACCGAGGTCAACTGCCATTTATCCACAGCTGAGTACGCTGAAAGCACGTGTTATCAGCCTCGGATACATTGTCCAGTTTTCCCGCTTTTCCAGCGAAACGAGGGTGCGCACAGTTCCCTATATTACCCGCGCTTACCGACCAGGGGCGCGGTGTTTCAACCCTCTTATCCACGTCCGCAAGGGTGGAAACGAGTGAACGACCGTCGATCAAGCGCTTCACCCCGATAAAATCTTTTTTAATTTTTACCTCGATAAAAATAACCTGTACCACATGTCAGCGCGCTGATCAAAATACTCCAATGTTCCGCGCGATTTTCATCGTAAACGAGGGTCAACGAGAAAAGCTGGCCCGATGTGTTTGTTTGAACAAAACGAAAAAAAAAAAAAAATTGCGGATTATAACAATGTAGAAACTGCATAATTAAATCGCGTTGTTATGATGCGATTACGCGTCTCTCTCCGTGGAAACAGAACGGTTCGCAATGGTGTAAGAAATTTGACGCGCGAGCACGTCTCACCGTTCGCGCCAAATAATACTAAAATTTCCGCGCACAATTTTCCACGTGAACTTTTCAGCGTGAGGAAAATGCTGTCTCGCATTCTCTCTTTTCATACCCACCGCATAAACGCGCGCTGCTGTAAAATATATACCGAGTGCACCGATTCCCTGTGCGCGAACATTATCCTAATGACAGTTCACATGCGGAACGATAATTAATGTGCTAAAGCGCGAAATGAGCCATGGCTAAACGTCCGGGAAAACATATTTCCGGTCAAATATGAACGTTAAACGATCTAATTGTTGCATAAACAATGTATCTTTATGGAGCCCGGCATATTAATGGCCGCTCCGTGCTGTTTTTTTAAATATTAACGACGAAGGGATTACACAGCGCGCAAATACGATGATTAAATTCCAGACATTAATGACGATGCGTGCGTGTGTATGGCGAAAGCCCGAATTTTCCACGACTTTTGCTTCGAAGCGTACTCGCTCGTACTCCGGAGACGAAGCCAGATAATGCCGAGCCCTAACGGCGCATCTGCTAACACGCCGCCGGCTTCCTACCCTTACTCGCGCAAAAATAAACAGCCATTGCGGAAGGATATTCTTTTTACCTCGCTTTCAGCCCGCTCCTCTTTTCCCTTCTCTTCGCTTCAGTCTCTCGCGCGCGACTGATTTCGTTGTCAGACAACGGCGGGCAACGCGTGTCACCATAAAATCAATACTCGACAACGTTACCGGGTAAGATAATTTGGCGGATTTTCCAACGCGCTGTCCCGAAACGTTAGCCAATCACGCCGGAAGTGACACGCCGTAACGAATTCTGCCGACGCACGGCGGAAAAACGATTAAAAGACAAAATGGAGGGAGGGAGGGGCGTTCGCCGGCGTTAAAACCCACTCTCGTAAGCTGATTACCCAGACATGTGTTTACGAAAGCAATATCGCAGTAAATATAATCAGATGCTAACGAGAGCGCAAACACGATCAGCAAGCAGATTTATTGGTTTTTTCGCGTGCGTAATGCGGATGACGTACGTTGCATCGCAAGGAAAATCCGCAAGGAGCCGACGTGTGCATGTAAGTCGGTCGCGTCGGAAATTCACCCGGCGTTGCGGAGACCACTTCTGCAACTATCCACGAGCGGACGGGATGAGATTAATTTCACGTCGACGATGAATAATTATTTGCCATTGAGAAAGAAAACCCTCGCGGAAGCAAGAGTGCGAACAAACACTTAATTAGAGGCAACGAAATTACCCGAACGAAACATTAATCCAGGACGGAAGGTTCGCGAGCACTTTTCTCTCGCTTTCGTTCGCCCCCGCCTTTATCGCGCTACCGGTCTCGCGAGAAGAAAGGGAGCTCGTTTCAAAAGAAAGAAAGAAAGAGAGAAGAACAAGAGGGCGGGAGGAAAGGAGAGAGACCGTTCGTTGAATACGCCCTTTGAACCTGCACTTATCGGCCATCTACTAGCTTCCTGTTTGTGACGCCGTTACTACATAATACAGTAGTTACCGGCCCTCCTCGCATGTCGAAACCGCGCGGGCACAATCGACGAGAACACGTATAGCCTGCGGCCTTCGCGATCCGCCGAATAAACGAAACGCGACGACCGCGACTAACTCGACGAGAGAGATCTCGTCGCAGATGCGCCTCGGGAATGTTGCGCCGCGTGCGAACACTGAGAGAAAAGGTTTCACTAATTTAACGAAATACCTCGGCAAATTGTTGATATGGGGCAGCAAATAAATACTCTGTTATGGAAGCAAATGATTTGTTACTTCAAATTTGCTGCTCGCTTGTGTAATAGGGACAGACACTATTGTTCTATAAATCCAACGAGTCATAAACTTGATTCGCCACACGGGAGAAAAGTTTGCTTGTATTAACCGGAAAGGGAAGCAGATTTACTCGGAGGAAAGCATTTCTGGTTATGAGCACCACATTTGGATCATAAGAATCAGAAAGTCTGTTTCCTTCCGTTAGAACGCATCTGGTTGCGCTCTTCCCGGCTAATGCAATCAGATTTTTTTCCCGTGTAGCAATACAGACCACGATCGATAAATTCTGCCATACGCATACGTCCACGAGACAACCATATCGCCCGTATTCGCGTGGTCGCCCACATTGTGACGTGTAATGTTCAAAAGCCCCGTATATCTCGGCGAGGGAAGAAGAAGTTACGGAGCGGCGAGGGTGAGATGTGACGGGAGGAAAGTGCGTCTCACGGCCGAACCGTGTCAAACGCTGGCAATTTCGAGGAGCTTCCCGCGGGGAATAATGGCCGATAACGTGTGGTAGGACAGTTTCGCGGAGGGGGCGAGGTGGAAAGCGGGACCGATTACACTGGCCTTAAGTACCCTTCGGGGGACGTTCGCGTGACAGTGGCGTCTTGGAGGGCGAACTACTCGAAGTGGCTGCTTTCGGCAGCGGAGAAAGGGCCAGAAAGCGAGGGAGGAACGGGACCGACGCGGATCGGAGTCGCTTAAACGACGATCGCTTAATTAGCAGCCGAAGCGTTGATTCCCCGAGCGGTCGAGAAGTTACGTCCAAGTGAGCGGCCGGGAGGTGAAGGGCGCAGCTCTCTTCCGACGGAATGACGCGCGTGATGAATCGAACGGTGGGACGACGTTACGGTTCGATCGTGTCGCGCGATCCATTAGCGTAATGGCCGCGGGGTTTATGATACCGAAGGGTGCGGGCGAGCGCGAGGCTTCCATCATCCGTCCTCTAAGATTTACTCTCGAAATTTCGCGGAGTGAAATCTCACTCGAAACGAGCGAAAATCCACCCCCGAGTGGCGGCAGCGAAATTACCGCCACTCGAAATCGTTAAAGTGAATGTTTCACTCAAGCTCAGAGTGGATTTCAATTCCACGTGAGTAAGCGCTTCAATCGATTAGAATTTAAATTGTTTCTTATAATCGTAGAATACATTAAATTCACCTTTCAATTTTAAGTAGAAGTATTCAAATCGACAATTCGGAATGGAGAATTTAGTCTGTACGAATACAACAAATCGCTCGAATTCGAGTGACTCGACTGTCACTCTGCTGAAATGCCGTTCGAATGAAATTTCTGAGAAAAGATTTAGAGAGTACCGCGAATTCGAAGATTCTTCACGCTCATTCCGCGAGCTTGGAGAAATTGGATTTTCCCCTTCATTTAAACGTTTCTATTCGAAGCTGCAACTAAACGCAACTTCCGCTCTCTGATGTAGAAAGATAATGCGCCGGATAACGCGGGGGAATAATACGGAATTCTTAATTAACCGAACGCAGACGGCATCTTACCGCGAGTGAAACGCGCGCGCCAGATAAGTTCTTTCTCTCCTCCGCCGTTCCACTCCCGCCCGCTGCTTTTCCCTCCTCCTCGGGAAAGGCAGGAAAAGAGGTATATCGGTGGCCCCGATGCCAAAGTGGAATAATTGACGCCACAAAGCACTTCCGCTGTCCCGGGAGGCCTATTCACGCGCATCGAAGACCGCCGAGGGCTGTTGCACCGCGTCTACCGGCGACAGACAATGGCAATATTAACGCAATAGACCGTATCCGCCATTGTTCGAGGTCGTGCGGCGTCTTGGCGGAGGATCACCTTACTCTCGTTACCACGAGGAAAACAGACGCGGGAAGGAATTCTTTTAACCGCGACCGAGAGGCCCTACCGATCGATTTAAGCGCGACACGAGTCGAGTTTTATCGTCGATGTAAGTGGTGCAACAAAAAGAAAGAGCAAACTTGTGCCTCCCACGTAAGAACGATAAGATATGATTATGATAAGATAATTTCTTATCATACATTTTCTAATATCTAATGGAATGCCAAATAAGATTCGAATTGGGTGGCTGTACATTGTACTAAAATATTGAATATTTTCAAAACATCGAAATATCTTATCAACGGCAAATAAGATAACGATGAAAAATAAGATACATTTACAGAAGCTGCTCGAAGTGATGACTATTGGTATATTGATGTAATTTCTGTTGGATAAATTTGCCCACTACCGTCAGAATTCGAAGATATCCAAGGTGGTAATAGTTATTGACCGGCTCCGTGTAACATTCGGCAAAGTCGGATGAAGTTTTAGCAAAGTTAGGCCGTCGTTGACGGAGAATCGAAAGCCTCGAAACGAGCTTTACGTAACAATTTCGTAATGGCGAGTGGCCGATCCCGTTTGACGATTCGCTCGAACTAACTACAAAGTGGCGCCACTTCGCTCAATTAATTGATCTTTACATCGGATTGCATTAACTTGCCCCCCCGGGTACATCGATCGATGATGAACTGCTGCTACTCGCGAACTACTAACCGCGCGGTGACACAGGGGGACGTATGACGT